CTGAGGGGCCCTTTGCCGGCCTCGGGGGCCATCTTGGGTGGAGGGCTCCGAAGGTCGGCCCGAGCTCTCCCTCTTTTTGGGGCCTCCCAGACGGGGTCCGATGGGGAGGGTGTCGGAGGAAGGCCCCGCATCGCCGGTGCATGGTCGGTGCGTCGGCGACGCACCGAGCACACGGAGACGTCTGGGCGATGCATCAAACATGCATCATCGATGCATGGTCAGTGCGCCATACGCATGGAGGCCTTGCGCGAAAGACGTTCGGTCTTCCCATTCCCAGGGGGAGCGGGATCTCCGAGCGGATCCAATGACCCTGTTGCCGATCCGAGGACAGCGGCTTCGATCGGCGTTCCATGGATTCATTTGTCGATCCGCAGATCATGATTTCAAACAAGCGCACGACCTGCTTTCAATCTGCGGATTTGTCTTTCGATCCGCGAATTAATTTTCGATGGGAGGATTTATTTCTCGATCCGAGGATTCATCTTTTGATCCGCGGACTCTGTGTCAATCCGCGGATTTGCTATCCGATCCGCGGGTGGATGATGCCCCGCCGAATATCTTATCGATTTGCGGAACCTTGTGTCCTTTGGCAGGTCGAAGTGCGTCCACGATGCATCCGCGCTGCACCGAAGAAGCATCGCAGACGCGTCGTGGATGAGGGCCGGTGCAGTTCGAGCTTCGCCCGCGCATCGTCGATGCATCAGCGATGCGGCGCTTCCCTCTGCCCCCGTCTACTCCGACCCCATTTGGGAGGCCTCTACTCCTTGGGCCGGCTGAGAGGCTTCTTGGGCCCCTCTTGGGGAGTCGGCGGCAGTCTTGGAGTGGTCCCGAGGGGCCTTTGGGGCCTATTTGGGCAACCTCAAGACTGACAGTGCCAGCATCCGAAGCTGATGCAACCCGTCGTGGCTTCTCGATAAGTTTTGCGTCCATGATGGCCTGCGAGGTCCCCAAGAGGGCTCCTCCGCAGATCGCGTGGGATCTTCTTCCGGCATGTTTCATAGTTACTGGGAAACGAAGAATGACATAAACACACAAACTTGGAGGTCCGCGCGGATTTCTCGGATCGGCGCTCGGGTCCCCTGGCGGCGCCTCCAGTGCCGCCCCTGGCGGCGCCTCCCGCGCGCCAGGGAGGGGGGTCGAGCGCCGTTCCGAGAAATCCGCGTGGACCTCTGAGTTTTTATGGTCACGTCATTTTTTTGTTCCCCTAATTTAATCAGAGCGTGAATTACCTACCCCGCTTTCGCTTCCAGGCAAAACAAAGCCATACCACGCGCCTCCTCGTCAAGCGGCCTGACCAGTACAGGCCGTAGTTTGGCATCGCTTGGTATCTCTTGGAAGCGAGGGTGGTCAAAAGCGAGGTAGGTTTGTTTGCCCCCTACTAATTTAACCCCCCAGCCACGCCCCCGAGGCCTTCGGATTCGTCATGCGGCGAACACGAGAAGCTTCCAGGAGCGCCTCGGCTCGACCAGAAGTCCTCGGACCTCGGGTTCCCGACGGATCTAACTTCGGGCATCCCCAACAATGTGCGGTGGCCACACCGTTCAAGAGGGAAAAAAACACAGACACAATTAATCGTCGGTTCCCAGGAAAATATGGGAAAATATGGGAAGTGGGGGGGAAGACAGAAACCCAGAAAATATGGGAAAATATGGGGGATATGTTTATTTGTGTGTATCTATTTGTGTGTCCCAGTTCCCCTTCAACCGTATCGTACGTCAGGGGGGGATCCAAGGTTAAGTCGGGCCTGTCCCTCCTCTACAGGGGGTAGATTCAAACATAGTGTTTAACATAGGCTGGGGACACTATTGTTTGAGTATTGTTGGGGCATCTTTGGAGCATGTTTGGGGCAGTTTTTGTTTTTCGCCCAAAATCCCCCTGTAGGGGGACAGGCCCGACCTCAAACCAAGGTGACCGCACGGTCTTCGAGGACATCTCGGGCGATCGTGGCCTCCAGGGTCCCAAAACCGTGTGGTCACGGACCATGCGGTGAGCCCCAAGAAATACGTACACCCACATGGTTTTCAAAGGACTGGTAGCGACATGAGAAAACTCCACTCGTAGCCTCGCAGTATGGTGTCGGAGTTTAGTCATCCGTCTTGTGTTTGTTGCGTCGCCGTTCTCCTTCTACGCCTGCCTCGTCATTCTCACCCATCCCTCTCCTCGTCGTCTGTCGTCTATCTCTGCTGCTCTTCCTCACTCACTCGCTCACTCATGTACTTACTCGCTCACTACTGTCCATAATGGTCCAATATCCTCCGTATCTTCCTCACCACTTTGCTCCTCCTCTTCCTCCTCCTCCTCCTCCTCCTCCTCCTCCCTCCTCCCTCCTCCTCCTCCTCCTCCTCCTCCTCCTCCTCCTCCTCCTCCTCCCCTCTCCTCCCCCTCCTCCTCCCTTCCTCCCCCTCCGCCTCCTCCCTCCTCCTCCTCCTCCTTCCTCTCCTCCTCCTCCTCCTCCTCCTCCTCTGCACCACTCATCATCCTTGCCCTCCTCTTCATTCTCCCTATCAGAACCTAACCGCTTTTCCTTCTCCCCCTCTCTCCTCCTTCTCGTCTTGCTCGTGTCTGTTCTGACCCATCGCCCTCATCCTCGCAGAGTCACCCCCGCTCCTCTCCCTCATCTCCCCTCCCCCTCGAGGCTTCTCCGCCTCCCTCCTCCTCCTCCTCCTCCTCGCCCGCTGCCCCCCCCGCCTCCTCTTCCCTCCCCGAGCTGGCTGCCGCCACCCCGAGGCCGCGGACCCCGCTGACGCCGCGGCGCGCATGGAGGAGATGATGGCGAGGTGCCGGGACTTCGTGCGCGAGAAGGCCCCCCTCCTCCTCCTCCTCCTCCTCCTCCCCCTCCTCCTCCTCCTCCTCCTCCTCCTCCTCCTCCTTCCTTCCTCCTCCTCCTCCTCCTGCTCCTGCTCCTCCTCCTCCTCCTCCTCCTCCTCCTCCTCCTCCTCCTCCTCCTCTTCCTCTGCCCCTCCCGGCGCGGGCGGGCGCCCCATCGCCTCCACGTGAGCCATCTTCCCCGAGCCGCCTCGCCCGCGTCCGCAGCAGTTGCCGAGCGTCTCGGCCGCGACAGGGCGTCTCGGGGGCCCGCCAGCGAGCATGGACCCGGTTTGAAGTCGGGCGGGTCCCCCTCTACGCGAGGAGTATTCAAACATGGTTTTAACAAATAACCTGGGGACGATTTGTTTGCTATTTCTGACTCTTTCTTCACAGTTCCTCCAAAATCCGCCGGTAGGAGGACATGCCCGACCTAAACCTTGCTCGGATCGTGGTGGTGTGGGTTGTCCGTGTCAGTGCTCATGTCATGGCTCTTGGAGCCGGCTGGGGGGCTGAGGTGGCCCAGCACTGGTTAGCAGACAGGGCGGGCAGGTTCGAGGTTCTGGGTTCGGGAAGGTCTCTTGTAGTTTCGGCCTCCGGGGGCCATTTTCGGGTCCCAGGACAGTGCAAAAGTGTTCCGGAGTGAAAAACTGCACCAGATGGACCCTGGGAGAGGCTTGGGGACCGATTTTGAGCGAATTTACCCGTACCCCCTCCCCTTCTGAGCGATTTTCGATTCTCTGAGATCCCATCCAGTCCAGACCCCCATACCCCTACTCGCCGCGTTGGAGATTACGAGCATGAGCCGTGGGCCACATGGGGATGTGCAGGGCCCAGGCCATGACCCATGCGCTCAGTCCGTCCGTCATCCTGATAGGAGTGTCCTCCGTTCAGACTCGCCCGCGCCAGCTGGCACGGCCAACCGGGGCGAGCCATGACTCCCAAAGAGCACTTGTCCTTGCTATGCTTTCCGATGGCCATCTGAATCCAGGTGAATACGGAGCCGTAAGGACGTCGCCCTCTCCCGGCGGCCTCCTCTCTGTAACAATGGGACATGCTAAAGCTATGTTTCAAGCAGTGGCGAAGCGTCCTGACTCGCCTATAGCCCTACCATTCAATGTTCTCAGAACCTTTTGTGGTTTCCACGAAATGTTATTAGAACATTTCTGTCGGAGTCTGTCTTGTTTTATCACATCGGGTTTATAGTATAAGAACATTGTCTTTGTTATTTGAACATTTTGGGGTTCTAAGAAAATTTCGTGGTAGGACTATGGGAATGCCGGGACGGTCGGTCCCTGCTCAAATGTTGGGGTGCTTGGGCGCCGACTTGAAGCAACATTGGAACCTCATGCAAGGACGGCCAGTACTCGTGACGTCAGTTCTCGGGGGCACAGATCTGACGCTAAGCTGCTCGGGATCGTGGCCTCTGGAGCGGATCTTGTGCAATATGTCTGGGGTCGTGGCCCCGGGATCGCAGATCTCGCGTCTTGGGCGGGGGATCGTGGCGCATTTTGTGGGGGATCGTGGTCTTGGAGGCGCGAAGCTGGTGTGGTTTACTGTGGGTGCCCGCGGAAGCGGGACTCCCGTGCGAGATGCGCAGGAGGCCACGCGTGCGCAGGCTCCGAGGCTCCGAGGCCACGGCCCTGCGGCAAGATCGTGGCCTCGGGGGCGTGGATCTTGCTCGGTGTGCATGGGATCGTGTCCTCGGGAGCACGGGTGTGGTGCAGCTGACTTCGGAGTTCTGCTCTCGGGGCGCGAGCCTAACGTATGATTGGTACGTGTACCCGGGCCCCTCCTTGGGGAGCTGTGAGGACATCAGGAGGCCGCGGCGGCAACCAGGGCGGCGTTGGATCCCCCCCCCCACCGTTTGCGAATCAGTAGCGGATTTCCGCAGGGACAGGGAAGGCAGAGGGCAGAGCTGTGCCACTGGAGACTGGAACGCCAGAAACTGCCTTGGAATTGCAAGTTGGACCGAGGAGTTCAGGAGTGATGTCTACTGCTAGAGCCCGACCCTCGCGGCCTGGTGGCCCCACTAGGGATCTGGCGGATACAGGTCCATGCGGGAGCAGTCCAAACGAATTCCTTTTGAGTTGTCCAGCGCATGATCGTCGCCATTTTCTGAAGAAGCTTTTGTGGTGGCTCGAAGTTCCGCAGAAGAGTCTGTTTGGCCAGTCGCAGCCGCCCGCCTGCCAGCCATGCTCTCCGTGGCTCGCACCACATGCCGCGCCACGCGCTCCGCCTGCGCGGCTCAGGGGCGGGCGTTCTCCGTTGCCGTTGACCCGATCGTGGCGCGAGCTCGTGAGATGCAGGCCACGCCGTACAGCGAGGCCAAGGAGGGAAAGATCGTCGCCCCAGCGTACGACGGCTGGGACGCCAATCTTCAGGCGCAGGTCGAGAAGCTGACAACGGGGAAGAAGCAGCCGCGAGCCTACTCCGAGATCTGCGACTCCGCGCTCGACCTGATCGGCTTCACACCCATGGTCCGCATGTCGCGGCTTGCGAAGTTCTTCGACATCGAGTGCGAGTTGCTCGCAAAGGTGGAGTTCTTCAACGCGGGTGGCTCTGTGAAGGATCGCATAGGGAAGCGCATGGTGGAGGAGGCCGAGAAGAGCGGGCGCATCAAGCCTGGGGACACGCTGATCGAGGCCACCAGCGGTAACACGGGCATCGGCCTCTCGCTGACCGCGGCGTTGAAGGGCTACAAGATGATCATCTGTCTCCCGAAGAAGATGTCTGGCGAGAAGGTCAACACCATGAAGTGCCTGGGCGCGGAGATCTTGCGCACGCCCACCGAGGCGGCCTGGGACGCCGAGGACTCTCACATATTCTTGTCGGCCCGGCTTGCGAAGGAATTGAACGGGCACGTCCTCGACCAGTACTTGAACCCCGGCAACCCGCTCGCCCACTACGATGGCACCGGCGAGGAGATCGTCGAGCAGACGGGCGGCAAGCTCGACTACATGATCATGTCCGCGGGCACTGGTGGCACGGTCTCGGGGACCGCGAAGAAGCTGAAGGAGAAGATCCCTGGGGTTAAGATCGTGGCGGTGGACCCGTACGGCAGCATCTTGGCTGAGCCTGCCGAGATGAACGAGGGATCTGCGCGCACTGGACAGAAGAAGTTGTCTGCCTACCAGGTGGAGGGTATCGGCTACGACTTCATCCCCACCGTGCTGGACCGCAGCGTCGCGGACTACTGGGTGAAGACAGACGACGACGAGGCGTTCGCAGCAATGAGGGCCATCATTCGGCACGAGGGCCTGCTCATCGGCAGCAGCTGCGGATCGACGATGGCTGGCGCGGTCCGCTTCATCAAGGAGCAGGGCATCGGCGCGGGCAAGCGCGTCGCCGTGCTCTTCGCAGATTCCTCCCGGAACTACATGAGCAAGATGATGGACGACGACTGGATCAAGAAGACCGGCTTCGACCCGGAGATCACCGTGCGGGCCGCGACGGAGAAGGGCTTCTACGCCAAGCAGTTCGGGCTCAAGGCGTAGGGTCAGCTTCGAGTGTGCAGGCTTGCCACGCGTCGCACGTGCTCTGGCTGGGAGGCGGCCGCAGCTTCTCCGCGTGTGCTTGTGCGCTCGATCCATGTCACGCGTTGCCCAGACGTGGAAGCGAGCAATCAATCTGGCGGTATGGCGCACTGTCGAACTGTACAGGGACACATGCCGTTCAGACCAATACCCGATCTGCTGTGGGCAGCAGCCCAATGGCGCTTGACTCTCATGGCAAGTCAATTTCTTCGAAGTCACACGAGCTAGCATTTTTGTGTTTTGGCCGCAGCCATTTCGCTGCTGGAGTCTGTTACTTGTCCTGGTAGGCCCACACTCCGGAGCATTCTCCTTCCGTGTTCTTCCCCAAGGCCTGATCGTAATTTCCCATACCCCGTTCTTCCTACCCCTCTTCCTCATCGTCCGTCTTGTCGTCATCCCCCTTCCTCATCTCCCGAGACTCCTCCCATCCTCGTCTTCATGTTGCGCCTTTCAGTTTACGCATTTGCTTCCCGAGGCTATCCCCCTCATCGTCATGCTGGGTCTATCAGCTTGTTTGCTCTTCCACGGGTGGGGGTGCGCTGCCGCTTGCCCCGCCCAGGGAAGGTGCCCAACGGGGCCGGCACTATTGCCACGGACGACGTCGAGCGAAGGAAAACATGATCTGTTCACTGCCCTCAGCTTCCTCCTCCGCCTCCTCATCGCGCCCCTCTGCCTCTGCCCTCTCGATCCCCCCAATATGCGCCACTGTACCGTCCGCTCCCCGTTCTCGTCCCCCCTCCCCCCCTTGCTGAACCCTCGTGCCTCTGCATGCACACTTCAGGAAAGCAAGGAGCAGGATGAGCCATGCAAGAGGGAGCAGAGGATCGGAGGAAATTCGGGGAGCAGGCGGGAGGGGGTCAGGCACTTGCACACTGATGGGCGTCCTGGCCACTCGCGCATCGACGCGGCGGAGGTTGCCGGCTCGCACGCGCACGCACTGATATAGTCTCGCGCACGCGCAAGAGCACACACGCACACGGCCTTGAAAGCCAGCTTGGCTCGAAGTTCCGCAGAAGAATCTCTGTGCCAGTCGCAGCCGCCCGCCTGCCAGCCATGCTCTCCGTGGCTCGCACCACATGCCGCGCCACGCGCTCCGCCTGCGCGGCTCAGGGGCGGGCGTTCTCCGTTGCCGTTGACCCGATCGTGGCGCGAGCTCGTGAGATGCAGGCCACGCCGTACAGCGAGGCCAAGGAGGGAAAGATCGTCGCCCCAGCGTACGACGGCTGGGACGCCAATCTTCAGGCGCAGGTCGAGAAGCTGACAACGGGGAAGAAGCAGCCGCGAGCCTACTCCGAGATCTGCGACTCCGCGCTCGACCTGATCGGCTTCACACCCATGGTCCGCATGTCGCGGCTTGCGAAGTTCTTCGACATCGAGTGCGAGTTGCTCGCAAAGGTGGAGTTCTTCAACGCGGGTGGCTCTGTGAAGGATCGCATAGGGAAGCGCATGGTGGAGGAGGCCGAGAAGAGCGGGCGCATCAAGCCTGGGGACACGCTGATCGAGGCCACCAGCGGTAACACGGGCATCGGCCTCTCGCTGACCGCGGCGTTGAAGGGCTACAAGATGATCATCTGTCTCCCGAAGAAGATGTCTGGCGAGAAGGTCAACACCATGAAGTGCCTGGGCGCGGAGATCTTGCGCACGCCCACCGAGGCGGCCTGGGACGCCGAGGACTCTCACATATTCTTGTCGGCCCGGCTTGCGAAGGAATTGAACGGGCACGTCCTCGACCAGTACTTGAACCCCGGCAACCCGCTCGCCCACTACGATGGCACCGGCGAGGAGATCGTCGAGCAGACGGGCGGCAAGCTCGACTACATGATCATGTCCGCGGGCACTGGTGGCACGGTCTCGGGGACCGCGAAGAAGCTGAAGGAGAAGATCCCTGGGGTTAAGATCGTGGCGGTGGACCCGTACGGCAGCATCTTGGCTGAGCCTGCCGAGATGAACGAGGGATCTGCGCGCACTGGACAGAAGAAGTTGTCTGCCTACCAGGTGGAGGGTATCGGCTACGACTTCATCCCCACCGTGCTGGACCGCAGCGTCGCGGACTACTGGGTGAAGACAGACGACGACGAGGCGTTCGCAGCAATGAGGGCCATCATTCGGCACGAGGGCCTGCTCATCGGCAGCAGCTGCGGATCGACGATGGCTGGCGCGGTCCGCTTCATCAAGGAGCAGGGCATCGGCGCGGGCAAGCGCGTCGCCGTGCTCTTCGCAGATTCCTCCCGGAACTACATGAGCAAGATGATGGACGACGACTGGATCAAGAAGACCGGCTTCGACCCGGAGATCACCGTGCGGGCCGCGACGGAGAAGGGCTTCTACGCCAAGCAGTTCGGGCTCAAGGCGTAGGGTCAGCTTCGAGTGTGCAGGCTTGCCACGCGTCGCACGTACTCTGGCTGGGAGGCGGCCGCAGCTTCTCCGCGTGTGCTTGTGCGCTCGATCCATGTCACGCGTTGCCCAGACGTGGAAGCGAGCAATCAATCTGGCGGTATGGCGCACTGTCGAACTGTACAGGGACACATGCCGTTCAGACCAATACCCGATCTGCTGTGGGCAGCAGCCCAATGGCGCTTGACTCTCATGGCAAGTCAATTTCTTCGAAGTCACACGAGCTAGCATTTTTGTGTTTTGGCCGCAGCCATTTCGCTGCTGGAGTCTGTTACTTGTCCTGGTAGGCCCACACTCCGGAGCATTCTCCTTCCGTGTTCTTCCCCAAGGCCTGATCGTAATTTCCCATACCCCGTTCTTCCTACCCCTCTTCCTCATCGTCCGTCTTGTCGTCATCCCCCTTCCTCATCTCCCGAGACTCCTCCCATCCTCGTCTTCATGTTGCGCCTTTCAGTTTACGCATTTGCTTCCCGAGGCTATCCCCCTCATCGTCATGCTGGGTCTATCAGCTTGTTTGCTCTTCCACGGGTGGGGGTGCGCTGCCGCTTGCCCCGCCCAGGGAAGGTGCCCAACGGGGCCGGCACTATTGCCACGGACGACGTCGAGCGAAGGAAAACATGATCTGTTCACTGCCCTCAGCTTCCTCCTCCGCCTCCTCATCGCGCCCCTCTGCCTCTGCCCTCTCGATCCCCCCAATATGCGCCACTGTACCGTCCGCTCCCCGTTCTCGTCCCCCCTCCCCCC